TCAACCACAGTGTCAGTCCACACTAATTCTGTCCAACCCATTCAAATACGTTTATAGGACGAGGGTACATACAAAATTTTTATTCATTAGAATGAATTCGTAGAATTTCGATTTTCTTTCCAAATAGCTTTATAATGGGATTCTTTTCATAGATTGGGAGACAATTTTAAGAAATGCGGCCTAACCAACGCAGAACTTTACACACAATCAATACATTTCAAATAGCGACCTACTGTCCATACCAGACTCCAGAAATAATTGTTACAGCCAAAGATCTTCTTAACAAAGTAAAGCATACATCTCTTCTAACTGTATTAACTTGTACGTATACATACGTACATAATATCACAGATCAGATCACCAATTGCCTGAAATTTCTATCTACCTATCTATGGTTCTATAGCCCTTATGGACTTCGGCCGCTTTTTCAGTTTCTTAAACTATACACAGCCGGTATGACCCCTTGGACGGGAGATCATCCCGTCGCAAGGCCGCTACCTACACGCAGAACAACACAAACACAGAATAAATGCACACCTACATCCATGCCTAGAGTGGAATTCGAACCCACGATCCCAGTGCTCGATCGCGCGGCCACTGTGATCGGCGTTGAAATTTCTAGAACCATATAAAATAATCTACTTCTGACGAACTTTGGTTATAGAAGAAAGCGTTTGTGACTACAAAGAAACATGCACGCGGGAAATGCAAATTATATGATTCTGGAAATGAAGTGTTTAAAAACTGACTCTTTCAAAATGCACCAAAACTGGATTCTAGGGGCACTAAAACATGGCTATAGGCAATATACACTAAATACAGAAGCCTATATTATTTTCAGAACTGTTATTTCATAATAAAGAGTGTCCTTACGGCTTCTACAGTGCGTACAATCAAGTGCGCGCCGCGGCTGCAATTTNTATATCTCAGGCAGATTTCCATTACCTTTTGGAATTCGTTCGAATTTTATATTTAAAATACTCCAAAAGGCAACGAAAGTGAGCCAGAAAATAATTTGGGACAAGTAATTTAAATCATGCCATGGGTTATCCTATGCCACATGCAGTTGCAGTTGGTCGTCCGACCTCCACACGCCTAACAGTGGGTAGCTGTTACGGACATGTGACCCATCCCATCCTCACTGTGAGACAAGCCTCAAAGAAGCAGATTTAGAAATCAAAATACATTAAATCGGAGGGGGAACAGAGCCAAGCCCCATCTCAGTAAGCCTATGATCATTACGGGTTGTCTGTCATGTCTGATACAAACTCTCGGCGAGGGTACAGTACAAACACACATCAGAATCTTGAATCCCTAACCCATACAACATGTTGCTACAAATTCCTCGATCACGATAACTATGTCAGGCTGTAACAAGTGGTGGAGTGTTTTAATTCACAGCTGCTAAAAGTGCATACAATCTTCCGCGAGAATTCTGTTGGGAAAATTGTAATACGGATATTAACATGTTCAGTACCTATTCCGTGAATTTACTATCTTCTCATTTACAGATCCTACCGCGTAATTTAAGGAAAGGATAAGAAAACTCATATGCAGTATTCAAGATATATGTGAAATGAAAGTTCAGATAACACATTTGACGTACATGAACTGTTTAAGGAAAACAAAATATTATGGAACAAGAGCAAGTCCTACTATGAATGACATGTAAAATAAACACTACCCCATGAAAACAGGCCATTACTTCCTGTCCGAAAACTTGCAATATTATATTAACTGAAATCACAGGAGCTAGGAGTATATTTCCCAAACGTCCGAAGCATTTAAAGAAGGCAACTCGATTCACATCTTACACTACCCTATGTCAATCATATGAACTGGGGAATACAAAACCAACCCTTTCGTTGGAGTGGCTTAACAAAATCCAGAGATATGCAACAAAAAATAAGAACATGATACTTTTAATTTCACCAGAGGATGGATATTGCAGATATTTACATAGAGGTCATATTAAACAAGATTCATGCAAATTTCATCTATTTCTGGGCTTCCTAACTTATCATGCAGATAGTGTTGGCACACTGATATGTTGCTACGTAGCTCTGTGACAAGCTTAAGTGACTGTACTTTCTTGATATCCTGTACTAAATGTGTTATCACTGTCACAGAGGCTCACGTCAGTATAATGGGCCTAAAGTCAAAATGAATACACATAATTTGCAAATTCCAATATAAATACGAAACCGCTGGTTCGTAGGGAAAGAATGCGTCTTTTGCTTCAGCGCCAACCTAACCTTCACGTGACAGGTGCACCCGTTTTTGCGAACGAGGATTCGAGAACCGCATAAAGAAGAAAACATAACTACAGAAATAGTATCGAATATTAACCCCACAGAGTGGAGTTCTTGAAATGCTAACAGTTGTTCAGCTAGTCAAGAAACATTTCGACCTTTTATGGAACACGAATGCAGGAGACGGCCTCCAGATATGGATCGTAGTTGCGAATATATTGCTTAAACAGTCACAGACAGCCGACAAGAGGTGGGCATCCAGCTTAGGAGTTGGGAGTAGGGATAACAACTACTCGCCGTAAAAATAAGCTTCTTACGAAAATGGCATAAAACAAGGGGATGCTTTATTGTAATTGCTTTTCAATTTCGTTTTAAAATATGCCATTAGGAAGGTCCAGGAAAACCAGGTGGGATTGAAATTAAATGGGACACATCGGCTGCTGGTCTATGCTAGTGATGTAAATCTACTGACATTTTTTTTCCCCTTGGCACTACAGCCCCAATTTGGGCCTACGCCTACCTCCACGAAACTCTCCGTTTCACTTCGGTTTACTAGATCTTAAACATTCGGTAGGACTCCTTGGGCGGGTGATCAGCTCGTCGCAAGGCCTCTACAGACAACATAGATACCATAGAGAAAAACACACAAGCTTTGATTGACGCTAGTAATGAGGTTCACCTAGAAGTAAACGCAGGGAAAACTAAGTACAAGTTGCTGTCTCGTCACCAGAATGCAGGGCAAAACCATGACGTAAAGATGGCTAACAGATGCCTTGAAAATTTGGCACAGTTCAAATATTTGGGAACAGTAAACAAATCAAAATTTGATTTAGGAAGAAATGAACAGGAGATTGAATTCGGGTAATGCTTGCTAACATTCGGTCCAGCACCTTTTTGTCTTCTAGTCTGCTGTCCAAAAACATAAAAATTAGAATATACAAAATTTTAATATTTGCCTGTGTTTCTGTATGGGTGTGAAACTTGGTCTCTGACTGAAGATGTTTGAGAACAGGGAGTTGAAGAGAATGTTTGGCCCGAATAGGGATGAAGTGACAGGAGGTTGGAGAAAACTGCATAATGAGGAGCTTCATAACTTGTACTCTTCGACAAGTATAATTAGAATGACCAAATCAAGGAGGATGTGAGGGGCATGGCATGTAGCACGAATGGGCATATGCTTCTGGTGGGAGAGCCAGAAGCAAAGATACCAGTAGGAAGCCCAAGACGTAGGTGGGTGGATAATATTAAAATGGGTCTTAGAGCGATAGACTGGGGTGGTATGGCCTGGACTGATTTGGCTCAGGATAGGGCCTAGTGGAGGGCTCTTGTGAACACGATAATGAAAATTTTGCTTCCATAAAAAGTTGGGAAGTTCCTGAGTAGCCGCACAATTGGTGGCTTATCAAGAAGGGCTTAGCTCCATTAAGTTAATTTATGGAACAAGAAGGTTCAAAACCAAATTGACAAGAACTCACCACTGGTCCTTACCCCGAATACAGCTACAAGTAACGACGTGATTATATATATGAATATTCATTTTAGATTAAAATATTTCGTCGAATGGTGATATTCCATACAGAGAAATATTGTACATAAAATTATATCTGTGGGGTTACACATTTAACGATATTAAGAATAAACGCATTTTAATTACCCATTACAAGACTTGCATCGGCCAATTAGGTATGTAAATTCGCAAATAATGAATCTGAAAATGTGTTTCAATTCTAGGAACTGTGAGTGAGACAGCCATGATGCCGAGAAATGAAAGCAAACAAATGGAGGCAGTATGGCATGAATTTTCCTGTGCTCAATACAATCCTGTTTGGAACAGCCGCAATCACATGGACGAACGGACGCAGCCTGGCAAGTCAAGGTACCATCAAGTTCAATCACATGTCAGTTCTTCTTTTCTTCACTATCTACTTCTACAAACTGGGATAATACATTCTGAACCTCTCTTCTGTTATTTTCTCCTTCCAACTAACAAACTCATCTTCTCACACATTCAAGCGGACATAAATACCCTGAAAGGTAGCCTTAAAATCTGTAAAAGGAACCAAAGAATCCCATCCGACTTATATCTGCAATACAGGATTGTGAGGAGAAAAAATTTACTGCATCATTTGGAGCCGGCGAGGTAGTGTAAGTATGGCTGGCCGAACTGCACAGGTAGAAGAGACGGCAGCCTTCCAGCGTACGGGAACAGAGAGAGGGGGGAGCGACCGAGTCCTTCTGAAGCCTCAGGCGTGGTAGTAAACACGGGTCCGAGAGGTGAGGAGAAGCAGAAGAAGCGAAAGAGATTTTTTCATGAGCGTATGAGAGAGAGAGAGAGAGAAACAACCCATCCACAAAAGCCCCAAAACTTAAAAACCTAACCAACATACGGACTTGCCCATCTTGCCAGCCTTGACCACTGCACTCGAAAAAAAAAATGTAAAACGAAAAATAAAGATAAGGAAAAGTGAGTGGATAAAAATTGAAACACAGGAATCTAGAAGTGTCCAGATTAATATTAAAATACTTGGGGACAGAATACACGCGGCTTTGAAATCCCAAGAAAGTGTTTACATTAAGTAATATGCACAGTCGCGGAGTTCCAATAAAGATTTCATCCGATAAATTTTACCCTATTCAAAAGACTAGTTTAGGCATTAAACGCAGTACGTATTGGAGGTATCTTGTTAACATTGCGAAGTGATGAAATGGTCACTGAATGTAGCACATTATCCAGACTGAACGACATACCTGAACAGAACACTCCAACCAGAATAATCACAATGTGTACATGTGTCACCACAATTAATAGGAGCTATAATTTAATCCTTCGACGAAACTATTAGGTATAGTAATCCCAAGATGCCATACAAAAAGAAACTTCACACAACCACACAACAGTTGAACAGCAAGAAAATCTTAACAATTCACTGTTTATACTTCTTTCTTTGCAATATTCACACACGCGCGCCTTTCAGTTTCTGAAAGACGTAAGTCATTGTGGTGAAAACACTTCACACGATTGTGGGGATCATCACAGATCACAACACCAGACATCGGCTGGTGACAACAAACCAAACGATGCACACTTCTGCTTTCTTAGCACTGAACTGGCGGCCTGGTTGGTTGGCAGCCGAGTTCAGTGGGCAGGCCGTCCCTACAGCAACAGGTTACCAGCCTGACTCCACGGGGCCTTCAAGGGCAATGTCGGAAACGAGCTCAGGTACGCGGTGGCGGGAACGTTTAAAACTCTCTGGTTCTTGTATGTCGGATGCTGCTTTCCATATATTGACATGCAGTGGTCCAAATAAGGCGGAATCGCTTCAGTAGCAGATATTGTGTGGAATAATTTTTGTAGCTAATAAAACCTTAATTTTAATTGTGACAGCACTGTGCTAACAGAGACCGCCTCTGTGGCCTAGTGGTCAGAGTTCCTGGCTACAGCTCCAGATGTCCAGGGTTCAATTCCAGGCGCTACCAGATTTTCTAAGAAGTAGTGGGTCTATAAAACCGATATTAACGACCGTGGTGATTCGTTGCGCTGACCACGGTACACCCTCTATCAGCTAAAGTTGGCACTGATTTCGTCGACAAGAGGCGGTAGGTCGGTCGGTATAATTCGCTTGCGGACTGAAGCCACGGAGTGTTTTTGTTGTTGTTCTTTTGTTCTGTGCTAACAGAAAACACTATCGTCGTTTCTAAATAATTCTTAATTTGAAAATGAAGTTACAGTCGTAATGTGAGAAGTAATAACAAGGGTTTAACAGGCTGATAGTGTATAATTAGTAATACTGCTATACTCTGCTGGTGATGGCATTTTTGTTGTTGAATGTGACACTGCATCTACGGGACATATCCAAACAACAAGCCCCCAGTTCGACAATCAATCGAATTGTGCAGCGATTTTGTGTAACTATTTCTTTCATATCTCCAGATATATTTCAGCACATTAGTAGGATATAGCCACCCAATTTCATGACATCTTATTTACGGCTGAATTTCAAGCGGTTAGTCGCTGGCTTCTCACCGTGGCGGCCCGGGTTCGATCCAGGGTCTGGTCAAGTGGGATTTGTGGTGGACAAAGTGGCGCTGGGGCAGGTTTTCTCCGAGTACTTCGGTTTACCCTGACAATCTTCTTTCTACCAATTGCTCCACAATCACCCTCACCTATCATCTGGGGCTGGTACAATAGGCCAGAAGTTGCCGCAGTACAAGGTACTTAGTCCCACCCCACTAGCAATAAAAAAATGATGGCAAAATTTAGAGTGCCTTATCACGAAATAAGATATATCACTAAAATTAATATGGTTGCTTTAATTATGAAATACAGCGACAACATTTAAAAAGGGGTTTACTTTATTCGTGTTATTACATATATATAATAGCGTCTTAACACAGGCTGGCAATTTGAAGGAAAAAATACGCCGTGTTTCACCCCGGACTGGCGTATTTTCTTAGAATGAATGGAATATAAAGTATGGAGCACGCGGTAGCATAGTTGGTTGAGACACTATACTACAAGGCGGAAGGTCGCGGGTTCGAATCCAAATTAGGTGATTTTTTTTTTTCAATTTACCTAATTCCTCCAGCCGCACTATGGCACTGGGGTCAACTCAGCCTCTAACAGAACATCTCTGAGCCGGCTGTGTGGAGAAAATGTTGGAGCCTTGACGTCTTAAAACCATATGCGTCTTCACGGCCTGTTTCAAGGATAGCGTAAAGGAAGGCAGAGTAGCCGGGTGCAAGGCAGGATGTGGTACACTATTTAAATCAACGTGTAAGGTAATAACTAAAGAGTATAAATTTAAATCAAAAGAAAATTATATCGTTATTCCAACACCAATTATCAGTAAGTCTCAGTCATAAGTTGAAGTTTTAATTCTGTTTTATGAAAAATAGTGTCGGTGTGACGTGTCGTTGCGTGCCACCAAAGAAAGAATAAAGGTTATAATTAACATAAAATGGCAAGGTTTCGAATATTATAGGCCAGTNCACGGTGTCAAATCCCAGAAGACTGCTTTCTTCATACTTTCATCTTACTTGAACATGTAATATATACTAAAGCTGGTACATAATTTTTAAACTTCATATTAAATTACTAATGCATAAATCAAATCAAAATATGTTTCAAGTAATATGACAAAAAAAAAAGATAAATAAACACTAAAAGGCAATTGCTGTCTACATCATACATTACCAGTACTACAAGCGTAATATAAAAGTTGTTCAGGCAACTTTTCTACCTACATTTATATTGCATCAATACATATTTATTAATCCCAAGACTGCATTGGATCGACATGAAACACGAGCAGAAATGCACATTTCCAACAGGAATCCACAAATTCTCAAATTTTTATCTTCTTCTTCTTCTTCGGTTCTACCTAAACTCCACACTCACATATTGCTGCTACAAACCCACACTACAATGATAATCAGCGTTACAGAAAAAGCAAAACTGCACGGAGTCTATATGCTCTTATTCATAAACCTGATAAACACTATTGGTAATACACCTGTTATTAAAAAAAAATATATTTTTCATTTAATTTAGTTAAATTACGTCATATTTTAGATGTTTCAAATATAAGTTTTAGAACGTAATCGGATATATGACATGTATTAATTTTTAATGTAATGATTCTTTACTTTTACACAAAAAACGAACAAACTCCCTGGCTTTAGTCCGCAAGCGAATTATACCGACCGAGCTCGATTCCCGGCGCTACCAGATTTTCTGAAAAGTAGTGGGTCTAGAACGGGGTCCACTCAGCCTCGTGAGGATAATTGAGGAGTTACCTGAATGGAAAATTAGAGGCTCCGGTCTAGAGAACTGAATTTAACTGCCGTGGGGATTCGTTGTGCTGACCAAGTAACACCCTCTATCCGCTAAAGTTGGCACTAACTTCGCCGACAAGCGGAGGTCGCCCGAAAGGTCCTTTACTTTTATAAATTCAATAGATAGCATGAGCTTCAGTGTTGGTTGTAACGAACCAGAACGCACAAAAATGAAATCCTCCCGTTAGTCTTTCTGCATATGTCTTAGCACACATAGCCTCAATAAAAAAGTCATTGTTCTAAGCACTTTATGCAAGCAGGGAGAGACATTTTAAAAACAAACTGTGTGTGACAGATTCATAAGAACTTTCTTTTTTTGTATAAAGAAATAGTGGGTACTGAAGAAAAGAAAGCCGATCACAGTGGCCGCGCATTCTAAGGCATGAACTGTCTTCTCCCGCTCGAACGCTGGGATCGTGGGTTCGAACCCCATTCTAGGTATGGATGTTTGTCTGTGTTTTATTCTGTGTTTGCATTCTTCTGTGTAGGTAGCGGCCTTGCGTCGGGCTGATCCCCCGTCCAAGGAGTCCTACCGACTGTCTAAGGTTATGAAACCGAAGTGAAACGAAGCGTTTCACGGATGTCCTGTGCTTAAAGTGGGAGCAACAGAAATGGATAGATGGACAGGCAGAAGAAAAGAGAGACCGCAGACTAGAAGTAACACAGATGGATTTTCTCTAAGCTTCACTGGGTCTTAAAGACTATGTCACTATTATCTTTTTATTATTGCTAGTGGGGTGGGACTAAGCCCCTTGTACTGCGGCCACTTCTGGCCTATTGTACCAGCCCCAGATGATAGGTGAGATGATTGTGGAGCAATTGGTGGAATGAAGATTGGCAGGGGAAACCGAAGTACTCGGAGAAAACCTGCGCCAGCGCCACTTTGTCCACCACAAATCCCACATGACCAGACCCGGGATCGAACTCGGGCCGCCACGGTGGGAAGCCAGCGACTAACCGCTTGAGCTATGGCGCGCCCTCCTATGTCACTAACGAGATAGAAATGTCATATAAGAATTAAATATTTCGAATATTATAAGCCAAAATGAAGACTGCCACAAGAATTAGGTGCATAAAATATACGAATAGTATTAAGGCAAAAATAGTACCAACGCATTCACTACAAGACTGACAGAAGGAAGTATGAAATTATCAATAATCCTGTAACTTGAAATAAGGTCTAATTCCGCATAGTTCATAATTACATTGAAGTAAAAATATGTCCGTACCTCAAATATTATTTATGGATTATAATACTAAACTCAGCAACAATGGCTGAAATACAACGAAAAAAAAAAGAAAATGAAATTTGTTTCCTATGAGGCATTGCAATGTATACGAGCAATGATTGTATTACACTTAGAAAACTGACAAATAAAAATATAGAATACTCCATGTAATTAGTGAAAATAGCCGAGTATTAAAAAATTGGAAATTACTATCTTCAGAGATATAACGTCGCGTAGTCCGTGAAAGTCAACCGACGTTTCGGAGGAACGTGACGCCTCCATCTTCAGGACAAAGAATAAGCCGAGCAAGATACCAGTTTGAAAGCAGGTGTTCCAAGCGAACCAAGAGACTTATATTTCGATCCTGAAGATGGAGACGATACGTTCCTCTAAAACGTTGGTTGATTCTCAACAGACTACACGGCGTCATATCCCAGAAGCTAGAACTCTTCATAACCACCGCTGTGAGAACCTCAGATCCTACATATGAAAAAATTGTTTGCAACATTTGAAGAGATCATAAAGAGATTAAATACACTGCCAATTGTTTAACAATGCAGACCGAAAGCAAGAATAAACTGGGTTAGACTCTGAGATCATGAAGACAATTGTTGGAGTCAGAAGCATCCAGCGGGCAAGTAAGTTAAATCTATGGTCCGCTGGGATTAGCTAGAAGTGACCGAAGGCCGGGAGCCTAATCAGAGAAATGTTGTAGCCCTAATTAAAAAAGCTACATACTAATTTCTCGAATTAACAGATCATTCATTATGTAACAAAAGTAAATATAACGGACCTTCACACATTAAAGAAATATGTTTTATTTACCAACGAATAAACTACGCTTATTGAAGTTGGATATGCCGACAAGTATGTTGCTAAATATGATACCACGAAACATATAATTACGAATTACATCAATATCAAATATTTATTTCATTCACTGTTGTACTATTACGAAGAAACTAAAGGCTTTAAAATAAAATTTTGGAAACTGAATATGAACAATATATTGAAATTCTTACT